GGCGCTGCGGCAGCAGCTGTGCCCGCCGGGCGCCGTGCTGCGGCTGCCCCGGGTGTGCGGGCATGGCCAGCCGTGCCCGCGGGGGTGCCCAGCCGTGCCCGCGGGAATGGCCAGCCGTGCCCGCGGGAATGGCCAGCCGTGCCCGCGGGAATGGCCAGCCGTGCACCGACACAGGGTGCTGGTGCGGGTGACCGAGCTCGGCAGAAGTGCCGCCGTGGTCGGCGCTGTGCAGAGCGCGGGCTGAGCGGCGGCCCCGCCGTAGCCGAGCGCAGCCCCAGCAGCGATGTCCTGCGCGCTCCTCGCAGCCCCGCTGCGTGTGTCAACTTCTGCTTGGGCATTCGACACACACAATAAATCGGATTTTGGAGAGAAAGCGAAGACCGTTTGCGTGTTCTGTGTTACGTTTCGTTGTAGCACAGGATAAGAATTTTCTCCCGTCAGAATCCGAAAAGAAGTCAGATTGGAAAGTGATTGCTCTGCTGTTGGACGGGAAGGTTCACACCAAATACACAGCTAAACCATGCCAATCTGTACCATAGCACTGTGTCAAACCAGTGTTTTTAAGGTTAAAAATCACTCCTGTGTTTTAGCAGCACCTCACTTCAGCTTTATTCTCGCTGTACTGGCCTCAGTTAAATCAGATTGTTGCTTAGCATCTCTGAGTGTTCAGAAAGCCAAAGGAATGTGGTGGTGAATACCTGTGTATTTGAGCGCTGAACTTGACCAATATTACATTCTTTCCCCCCTTTCCACTTGTTTTTGTTTTTATTAGCTTGCTTTTATAAGATGTCATGAGGGTTTTTTTATAGCATTGCATTTAAGCCCTCCCCCACTAAATAAATGCTTGTTTCTTGTAGAGTGAAATTTGTGTTAATAGAACTGACTTCTTACATTGAACTGTCATAAACTTTGGCTATGATGGAAACTCTTTTTTTCTCTTTTAATGACTTCATACAAATTTTCTCTTATGTCCCTCATGCTGAGCAGTACCTTACCCTAAAAGAATTCATGTTTGTCTAATGTTAAAGTAACTGGAGGCTACAGTTTGAGCTTGAAGAGTAAGTACAGCATAACAGTCTGCTCTGTAATGGCACTGTAAATTACAGCATCAATTTCGTTTAAGAAATCCAAGAGAACAAAATGCAGTACAATTTCATTGAGGGATATATGAGATTCCACAGATTTTTTTTTTAATTAAATGACAAATGAACAAAGTTTCTAGATTGAAAACAATTAAAAAGATGTTAATTTTGTTACGCATTTACTATATATCTATTTGTGTAATGTAGTGCAAGGCACACTCAGTAATGTTCCCTCTTCTTGGTAGGAACATGAATAGGTCTCCTCACATAATTCAATTTAAAATCAGCAGTGCATTACTTTGGTGTAGCTATCTAATAGTAAACTGGAAGACATCAGTGCCTTTTTTAAAATATTCTGTCAGAGTGAGCAGGTCTGAAAGCTGGAGCATGATGTTCTTTCTGTATTTGTTCTCCTGGTCAGGGACTACATTTGCAGTATGTAAAACTGTAGTGTGTGATGTATCTTGGTCTCTGCTATTGCACCATCGTACTGTAACAGTGTTGCTTGTGACGAGGTGTGGGTTTTGGGGGAGAATAGGATTTTTAATTTATGGGGGAGACAGATTTTTGCATGATTTGAGGAAAGGTTTTAGAAGATGGGGCGAACGAGGGGGAGGAGGATGAATTTCTGATAATGTCACAGCATATGAGATAGCTGAAATTCTGCTGCATTTTCTTGAGTTTGTTGTGTTATTAATAATGCATGACAGTGTGACTGATAATGCTTTCAAACTGTGTCTTAGGTTATAGCCTCCTAAAGCGTTCACCGATAAAAATGGAAAGGGCCTCTGTTGATTTCAGTGGGTTTTGGATAAAGCTTTGAAACACTTTGTACTTCCTGGAAGCCTTTCTTCTTTGAATGAAAGGGTTATTGTGCACTGTGTTTTTTCCCCCCCTCCTTCTTATTTCTGTGCTGCAAAATAGGTTCTGAATCCTTGTACTGTTGAAGCAATTCGCCTCATAAGTGCCCATTGTTGGGGGAGAGGCGCTGGCACTTCAGCTGGTGGGTGCAGGGGTGGGAGCGGGACCGGGATCCTTCTCCAGCGCGGTGAAGCCGGGCACGGCGGGTCCCTCCAGGGCTTTCCTGCGCCAGGGCTGCCGGAGCTCAGCCTGGCATGATGTCATCGCTACCCCACCGCCGCAGGGAGCCGGCGGCCGCTGCCAGGGCCTCCGGGGATGCTGCCGGCAGACTTTGTTCTCACCAGGCTTGATGAAGCCGTGTATTTCAGGTGTTCAGCCTCAGCATCGGTGATACAGCGTTTTCTGCAGACTTAGAAATTAAGCATAAGCTCGTGGATTGATGCTCGGTCTAGTTACTTTGTTTGGAGAGACACCTCTGATGGCGTTTTTCCTTTGTATGCTGGGAGCTTACTGAATGGCACAGCTGTAATGCTTTTTCCTGAAAAAGTTGGCTGGCCGATGGAAAATGCATAGAATATGTATATATGTTTGTTTTCTCTTAATGTTGTGAGAAACCCTCTATTTGGGACTTCATAGTTAGTGTGGGTTAAAGATTCTCTATTGCCAGGGCTTTTTTATCCCCCAATTCAATTCTGGGCATCCTTTCTTATTTTGATAATTGTGTTCCCACTGGGTAACGTGCTATAGGAGATAGGAGAAATTTGCTCCTAGGTGGTAGTAAAACAAACCAAACAAAAACCCCAACACTGGATAAAGCTTAAGCTCCAGTGTCAGCTGCTAAGGTGCATTTCCACCTTTCCAGATGGTGTTGATATGCCAGAAGTGATGACAGAAATCTCTTAAGTACACTGCAGAGATCTGTTACAGGTGAATTTCCTTCATAGAGCAAATCACAGAAGGGTTGAGGTTGGAGGGGACCTTTGGCACTTGTTGGGTCCAACCCCCCTGCTGAAGCAGGGCCACTTAGGGCCAGTTGCCCAGGACAATGTCCAGGTGATTTTGAGTATCACCAAGAAAAGAGATTGCACAACCACTCTGGGCAACCTGTGCCAGTGTTCAGTCACCCTCACAGTGAAAAGGTGTGTTTTGATGTTCAGATGGAGCCTCCTGTTTTGGTTTGTGCCCATTGCCTCTTGTCCTGGCATGATACAGAGCCTCTCTCTGTTGTCTCTGACAACAAGATTCTCCCCTGAGCCTTCTCTTCTGGATGCTAAACAAGTCCCGGCTCTCAGCCTTTCCTCATATGGAGATGCTCCAGTCCCTTATTTGTCTTTGTGGCCCTTTGCTGGGCTCTCTCCACCATATGTCCATGTCTGTCTTGTGCTAAGGAGTGCAGAACTCCAGGTGTGGCCTCACCAGTGTTGAGTAGAAAGGCAGGATCACCTCCCTTGGTCTTCTGGCAATGCTTTTGACCAATTCAGCCCAGGATACCATTTGCCTTCTTTGGAACAAGGGCACGTCGCTGGCTCCTGGTCGTTCTGGTGACCGCCAGGAAATGATGAAACACATCAACTCCCAGAAATCTTCTGTATGTAATATAAAGTGTTGTAATGCTGCAAAACTATGATAGGACTTCTTAATTTAGGTTATATGACTGTGCCCTGGAAAGGTAAGGAGAATGAAGCTATGCCTCATCTTCCAGGTGGAGTCCCTTACCTGTTGATTTGGTTAGATGTGATCTACCCATCTGTTCGTGGGAAACCTTGCAGTGTATGGAATGGCTGGAGTTTCTGTTCTGTGTTCTTTTTCACTGAAGGACTTTGTTTTCTTTTTCTCCTCTGTGGTGCATTAGTTTTTAACAATCATTTGCCAATGGAGTTTGTTTATTATGGAGTGGCAAAGCAAAGGATCAGCTTGCCATTGCGCAGCGCTTATGTGTAATTGTAGTCTTGGTAGTTGTAGTCTATTGCTGTTAAAAGTATGGAACTTGGATCCAAATATCTGGACAGCACGGTGTAGTCTAAAATTTTTTGTTACACGTGCCTTAGTCTTGAATGTCATGTCATAAAGATTACAATAGTTATTGCAGAAATAAGTGTCACACAGCAGAAATAGTCTAAAGAAAAAAGTATGAACATCAATGATTTAATTATAGGATTGTTTTTTAAAACATCTTGCTCTGGAAGACTAAGACCAGTGACCTGTACTAAGACCTGTATTTTTTTTCTACCTGTCTTCCCAGTCTGAACTGGTTTTAAGGTTTGGCCCAAAAATTAATTTATTTAGTAAATGGACTTGTGTTCTTTTGTGAATGTCCTTATCATGGTACTTTGAATTGTCCATCTGGTCATGAGCTTCATCCTTAGAGGAGGATGAAAATAGTGTTAGGTGAAACCCATGTGTCCAGGAAATATCCTTCTCATAGACACCTGTGTGTGTGTAGATTATGTAGCATAACAAGAGTGGATATGAGTAAGGCATCTGTGGCAAGTAGCCACTCTAATTATTACTGTGGTGTGAAATTTTAAAGGAAGTTGATACCTGGTGTATGGTATTCAGCTAGCTCCATTCAACCTCACCAGTAAGATAAAAATGTTATCTCACCTCATTTCTCTGTAATTGAAGTATAATTATTTATCTATTTTATTGGCTGCAGATCTAAAATGACAGCTTATCTTCATATATTTCCTGATGGTGGGGTTTATTTTAACTGAATTCTGTATCAATATAAACTTTAAAAAAAGCATGGGTCTCATGAAATGATTGGAAGTATTTGTCACATATATAATCCGATCAAATCACTCAGTATTTTGGAATTAGTGTAGTATTTCCATTGTGATAGTCCATGAAGTAATGCTGTTATCAACATCTGTGTTAGTTTCCAAGTTCAACACACTTAAATATTTGAAGACTTTTATTTTGCTGCAAAGGTATTTGTAAGGGGTAGCTAAAGGGAAAGAGGAGGAGGAAGAATTTAAAGTAACAGGTATAATTTTCCGACTGACATTTGACCTGTTTTGTAGTTTATTCTTTTGGGCACTTTTATCTTGGAATTAAGACATGGCATTTGGGGTTGGAGCCAGATGTGATTCCTGCAGTGAAGCCTTTCTGCAGTACTGTTTTTTCCTTGGGTAAATAGCGTGTGATTAAATTTCTCTGTATTTGCTGTGGTGGTGGTACCAACACTTGCTGCAGAGGTGAATTGCACTACTGGGAGCCATTGCTTGATTTTTCCAAAGGCTGAAGTGTTCTGTGATTGTGTG